GGGTATTTCACAGGACTTGATGCTTGGAGCATCGATTGAGATTGGCAATTTAATTGTGATATTACATATACTATTTGGTTTGGAACTACGGAGATGCACGCGATTTGCGACCATTTGTAGTGTTATATGAACGGCAAGTTTCACACTAATAATATATGCAAGCACCAAGATCCGCTTTGTACCGTGTAGTTAACTTTACACGGTCTTTCCTGATACTCAATTTTTTAAATTTAATTTTTAATTATTCTTCTAATTCTTCTAACTATCATAAAAAGCACACTTGTTTAAATAAATAAAATATATTTTAAAAAATTCGAAAATGTTGACATGCTACTAGATTACGTAACTCAAGATAGTAATAAAATGAGTGAAAACGTAATTGTATATGCGTCACTTCAAATAAATTATTTTTGTTTACAATAATTTGCAATCATATTGTGTCCTTATTACATATTTTGATACAAAATATTTTACTTTTTCTTTTTACTTTGGTATTTTTTTGTTGTTACTGATAAATATATAGCTTAATAATTACAAATATATATATTGTTAATTTTTCAATTATTGGGCACGTTCAGTTACTGGGATGTTTACTTTATATTACTAATAATATTAATCTTTTTATAATATTTTTGTTTAACCCTAGACTACCACACCGTATTTGCCACTCGAATCTACCTCAACAAACGCATCGATTTAGAACTTTTTTTAAAATCTGTACGCCAGACAGTAAAAAAGGTGACTGAATGGATAATACTCAAAGATCTTAAGGACATGAACAATTTGCAAAAATGTAAATCTTTTCATCAGCTTTTATATCTTTTCCGAAAAAGGCTGATTTTTCTCTTATATCGCAGTTCTTTTCAGTGGCGAATAAAAAAAAGTAAAGTATAGTTTCTAAAAGGACATGAGTGGTATTTTCAAAAGAAAAATATCTCATTTGGCTTCACTTTAAAAAACATTTATTTGACTGAGTGAACTAGACCGATTGTCGAACTTTACGCGTGGCTGAAATGGCAATACCAAGTGGAATGACATGGCTTATGATGGAAGGTTGTAGAGGACACTTGTAAGTTTCCCCCCTCCCTCTACATTGCGACTCTACTTCTTCAACCCTGTTGGAATGGCATGTATTTCAAAAATGGTTTGGGTAAATTTTACCTAGGTGTGTGTCTAGGGTTAATTTTACCTGTGTAGTCTAGGGTTAATAATACCTGATCACAGGTATGACATAAAATATCGCGAATAAAAATATTATAATATGCATACAACTTACAATGTCTTTCTGTAAAAATAAAGGATAAAGAGCTCCTTTCTCTCTCTCTCTCTTTCTCTCTCACTCAGCGCGTACATGTATGTATAATTGTGTCTGTACACTTCGTAAAATATTGTAAATATATGTGTGAAAAACAAAACTTTTTAGATTGATTTATATACATAATTTAGAAACGATTTATTTGAGTACACGTAAAAAAAACAATGCTTTCTTCAATCGTGTACCCTTATATAAATTGACGATAACATCATTTTGCAGTATTTTCTTGTATTCCTAGCTCAGTAGCCTCTTAATTGTATTTCTCGCAGCTAAATTGATCAATTTTCGGCAACTCCAAGAAAAGAACCACATGCTGGACAGTAATGCTTATGCGCTCTACAAGAATCCATGCAATAAGGACACGGTGCACAACACCAGCATCTGGAAAAGAATATCAGTTTTGATCATACTTCTTTGTAATAAAATTTCTCTGAAAAAATCTCTGATAAAAAAAATTCTTACAATATTTAAGAATTTTTAAAATTTTAAATTTATAAAGATTTTTATAAACAATGATCTTGATGTTATAAACAATAATCTTGAAACTTCTTTAGATTTTATAAATCAATTTTTTCTTTGAAAATTATTAAATGAAAAATCTTTGAATATTTTAGAATTCGTACATATAAAGAATTTTATTAAAAAATATAAACTTTCTCAGCATTTCTGAAAAGTGTTCCATTTGTATAAAAATAAAAATTGTATAAAAAACCGAAATTAACAACGATTAAGATGATTCAAAATTCAAATTAATATAAATAATTCGTACAGCACACTTTATTCGAGGGACGTCCAGAGGACGTCCTATAGACGTCTTAAGGACGACCTTAGTCGTAAGCTAATTAATATAAAAAGTCAACGTTAAACGTTCGTGTAATAATTCTTTAATATATTATTTAAGTATAACAAATATTTTGATTCCAATATTGAATCATTTTCAATGTACAATATTTCCCTCGTAAAAATGAACTACTAGTGCAGTGAAAACACTACTGTAGTCACTGAAATGTAGTAGTATTATTGCTGTTAACTCACGGTTGTTGAAATGTACTAACAGCAGACATAACAATCGCAATTAATACTCATAGATTGTATATAAATTAGTGAGATCCTCCTCGCACGTGTTATTAATTTATTAAGTTTTATGTAATTGATCTATATCCAATAAAGTAAAATGTTGATATCAGAAAAGATTCGAGAGCAAACCTCGCGATTTCCAAATATTTGACTATCAAATATAAAATGGGACACTCTGTATATATGTATTATAATAAATAATATCGACCAAAGAGGATCCGAGAGCAGACATGCCGGCCTT